TATTACACTATTTATGTAAGTTTATGGCGGGCCCCATAATATTATGTAAATTTACATCAGAAAAAATTTCCTGATGTCAATGGATAAATAATACAAGACAACTTACATTTGACAGAATAGATCAGCTTACTATACATTGCTATGATAATGCTATTGCAGAAAGAAAAGAAGAACGTAAAATGAAAGGAACAATTCTAATAGGAGTATCTGAACAGCAACTTCATTCTATGCAAGATTATCTCAAAGCATTAAATATGATATTAAATTATAATAAAGAAATAGGTCACCTTAATGAAAATGTAGCACCTGTTGTTGCAGACTGGCCAGGTCAACTTTTATCCATAAAGCAATCACACATTTGCATAACTCCAATACAAGCTCAATGATACAACTAGAGGTGGTCTCATTTGTTCCTATCATTGGTCCTTTACATGTTTCTCTTAATACAAGAGAACAAATAATAAAAGTTTATTATTCATTTTTTAAAAAGCTATTTCACTTTGTATTTGGTAACCAAAAAGTACTTGCAAAGAAACCTAGACCATGGAGGATAAATCTTTTGTTAGAATTAGCATTCACTGCATGGATTAAAATTAAAAAGCATATATATAGTAACAAAATTCTATTCAATGTGTAAGAATACTGAATACCAAATTATTATAGACCTATTAGATAATATTATACCAGTAGCTCTTGATGTATATGCTGTTCTCTTTCAATCTGGATCATTTGAGAACTATGTGGAAACAATCTTTCGCATCTGGACTTTTGCCTTTCACTGGAAATGGAAGAATTATAACAAAGCTCCACTAGCATTTTTATCAGATCTATTTTATTGGGAAAAAAATAAGTCATCCAATGAGAGAAGCAATTGAAAAATATTTAATTCAATTTAATGATTATTGGATTGAAAATATGCATAGTGGAATACATGCCACAACATAACCAAATGATAATGCTGATAATATAGATAATATAATAAAGCAAGCTTACCTTTTAGATTATCATAAATATTCAGCTTTTTGTGAAATGTTTTCAACTACTCACCAATATCCATATACACCACAAGATTTAGAATTTCTAGCTGACAAAACTTCTCTTTTTCTTCTTTTACAATTTCAAAATATTTGTAAAAACAACAAAGAGATAAATTCAGTTAGCAATGAGCCACCACCTTCAAAAAAACAACGAATAAAAAAAAGAATGACTCAAAATACTTATAAACTTCCTACTTTTGGCAAAGTAGACCTAACAAGCATGCTAACAGGATATAGTACTCCATTCCCTCCTTCTTCCAATAGTTGTGATAATTGTGTTACCAGAATTAAACAATGACGAAGATAATTTGGCCGAATCCTTTAATTTCGGGTCAAATTAAATTTTATTTCTATTTTTATTTTTATTTTTTTATTTTTATTATCTATTATTTTTATTTATTTATTTATTAATATAATTATTATTATCTGAATTCGTGTTACGTCCCGTCTATTTAATTTTTATTAATTAATCCATAGCACATTCATATTTATTTAACTTTGATTAATGACGATTATCCCAGACCGGGCGGAATCTCCCAAGTACAAAGTGGGCAGATTCGCCCAATTCGGGCTAATATGTAAAGAACATGTATATAAAGAACTTGATTTCGACCTAATGTAAAAGCAACTTTGTTACAAGTTAATTAGTTTCGACTAAATAAAACTAAATAAATAAAATAGAAATATTTTATTTAAAACTTTTATCTTCTTTAACCAAAATTATTCGCTAATACCAAAATCAATTCATTGATCCTTATTCATTCTGATCCACGCAAAAACAAAAATAATTGTTATCACCAATTAAAATATGCTCTCCCAAATTTAATTGGTGACAATAGTATTCGTATTGAAATTTCAATTTAGACTTATAAATATTTAGATTAATACTTCTGAAAAAAAAAAATATTAAAACATGTGCAAAAATATTAAATTTAGCAACTTAACCCTTGCCCTTTGTGTATATTCAATTAAACTTAGTGTGAAGGACCTTGATTATAAAACCCTTGGTGAACAACTTGACCCTAATAAAGATATTGTAGCTATTAATAGCAATTTCACTCACAAGACTTGTGAAGGTTTTGAGAACTTCATTACTCAATCCAAGAAGTTAACAGCTAAAAAGAAAAAATTGATGACAAATGCCTACTTTCAAGGAACAAAAAAAAGTTGGTGATGGGACTTGTTTTCAATCTTGCCATATTAATTGATTCAAAGAATTATAGAATGTGCTATTTTCCTAAAAGTGGAGATTTACAAGTATTTGGTGTCATTGATGCCCTATAAAAAATGATTCTTATATAATATGCGGAAAATCCGTAGAAAATATACGCGACTGCGGATATGTACGGGAAAAATTATAAAGTGTACGTAAATTCACAAATTTCCGTATGTAAAAAATTTGCAAATTTCCATATTAGCATACGGAAATTTGCGAATTTACGTACACTTTATAA